GCTGCTCAATTGAATATCAAAGCTATTTCGTGACTACAGCTCAAACTACCAAATCTAGTACAATAAGGTCCATGTCCATTACGGATGTGAAAAGATTTGATCAGGGTGTTGTGCAAGCGCTCACGGTGGAATTTCGACGTATGCAATCTTTACATTATGGGCAAAATTGTTGAGGACGTGTATTCGTAGACTCGTAACTCGGTGATTTTTATAGACTGACACCTGAGTCATGCAATATTCGATATCATAAGCAAACAGCCAAGTTTTTAGCCAGATACGCGAGAAATCGGGCAAATTTACGAGCTTTCGTGATTCCGTCACAGTCACCTCATAATAACTTTGCAAAAAAAGCTACACTTGACAAAAACCATGTTTTTCATTCTTAAACAACGTGTTCGAAAACCTCTGTGATCGGAGTTTCCTTGCAATACAAGAGCATCAACTTGACCAAAATCCATCGGCGAGCTTCCAGAGCGTAAAACGAAAAAAACCCCGAACATCTCGGAATTGCTCATAGAGGTTATCCGACCTGCTGACTTCGAAACTCACATCTGCTTAGCAAGATAGCTTCGTATTCTAGGGCTATGGCGAGTAGAATTTGAGACGACAAGATTTTTCCACAATTCACCAGCCCTTCTATTTCCTTTGAAAAGAAATCTGCGGCTACTCATTTAGCGCATCGTAGTCCACAGAAAAAGTACTATCGAAAGGCCTTTGCTGGAATTTACTCGAAACAATGCTCGCTGCTTTGCACCTTCGCAGAGACGTCCGCAGAAAGATTCAAGAATATGAAATCGAAATATCAGAGACATGCTGTAAACCAAAAGATTCGACTCGATGAGCTGAACACAGCACTGTTTTCGGATTCAAAATATACTTATTCCGAAGGACGTTGAGGCGAGTAGAATTTGAAAACGCGTAATTTTTCCAGAATTCACCAACGCTTCCATATCCTTTGGAAAGAAGTCTGAGCCTATATTTTAGCGCCCACTAATCCACAAGAACAGTATTATTGAATAGTACTTAGTGGAATCTTCTATGTTGGATAGACGCTGCTTCACATATTCGCGAAAGGAAATCCGCAGAAGAATTTGAGAAAATTGGAAACGGAATATCAAAGACATCGTACCCTCACTTCCAATGCATTAGAAGATGCTCCGCGCCGAGCTGAATCGAATGGTGGCTTTGGTTCAGAATTCGTCCACTCTGAAGCAAAATATGGCCACGCGACGGTGATATCCATACATTAGGCGACCGTCACATAACTCATGCGACCATCGTGTAAGTTCGCCTAAGTTCGCCCACATTCGCGTCTATTTTTTAGAATATGTGAGAGGTATTGTATCTCGCCCCACAACTAATGAAGACGCATTTGAGACTGACCCTAAACTCCTAATCTAAGTATGGATCCAGCCGTAATTGAACTCGATATCCTTTTTTTTGTAAGACGGGACCATCACCTACAACCTTCATCACGAACTCGCACAGGCGAAAATTTGGAATGCCTCGGATAATGACGTTTGCTTACAAAAAGCCAATACGGAGACGGTGCATGTGCGCGCAGTGGAGAACAATGTACTAAAAGTTGTGAAGACATAGTTATGGAAGGCGTGCTTATTATTCTTTCTAAATTAGAAGGCATCGTGTGCCGCATGGGAGAAATCAAACTGGAGCGAAAGAACCAGAGTTACCATTTCTTTCAACTATTGGTACCCAAATCATTCTGCTCCGTGGCCGCTTCGTTGTGATATGAACATGCTAGAAACTGCCTTTTCTTTCTTCTTTCGCTATTTTCTCTAGTGTTTGTTTTCTATTTACTTGCGTTGATACAACTTGCGCTGCTTATTATTTTCAGATAAGACCTCAAACGCCACAGAAGAAGTTGAGAGGGGCACTGTTTCCAAGCTTCAGGCTGCGTTCATACTGATTCCCATGTTCTGGAACTGTTCCCGCAGGATTCGATTTTCAGAGTTCCCGCACAGTTTCAGCACAGTGCGAGAACTGCGCGGGAACAGTTCCAGAACATGGGAATCAGTATGAACGCAGCCTCAGGTGCCACTCGTGCGGACCCTTCTTCACTTTTTAGCCAAGATTTTGTGGCTGCCCACCGCAGCCGCACTCCTTTGTGTTTCACCTAGCGATCTCTAACCTGCTTTTGTTACATTTTAACCTCGTTCGGAGCTCTGATACTCTAAGGACCGCATGCACTAACATTCCGCTGGGGAGAGGATCGCAGCTTAAACGAAAGTTTCATGTTTTCAAGCTTCAGATACCTGGATTTTACGCGTCTACCTATCCGTAAGTATTCCTACCATCCTTCACTATGAGATTATTGAGAGGGAGCAAAAAGCTTTACGAGCCGTAATTTCCAGCTTTTTGTATGATCCCTTGATGATCCAACTGCCGACCGTCTTTTCTCTAAAGTTATTTTTCTTTTCCGGAGTTAACGAAAACTTCCCAAATTTTCACTGATTATCTAACCCAACAGTGCTTAGCATGTTGCTGATAAGAAGAAATGATGTATTTGAGTCATGAAATTGCGATGAACCACAGGTCGAAAGTTGGGGTCTACCGAAAAATCGATATTCAAGAACTCATTTGTTCTCATCAGCAACATGCTTAGCGGTTAGATAACAGTACAACTTTTCAAGGTATTCGTTGACTTCGAAGGAAGAAGAATAACTTTGAAGAAAAGATGGTCGGCCGCGGGGATCATTAAGGGATCATATAAGAAGCTGGAAAATACGGCTCGTGGAGATTCTTGCTTCTTCTCAATATCTGAAGGATGGTGGGAATACTTACCGATGAGTCGAATGCGTAAAATCCAGATATCTTGAGCTTCAGGATATAAAGCTTTCTTTCAAGCTGTGTTCCCCTCCTCAGTGGGGATGTTGATGCATGCGGCACTAAGGCCCGTATGCACGTACATCCCCGCGGGGAGGGGAGGGGATCAGAGGGGAAGCGTCATTATTTCGTTACTCTGTATGACTTTCTTCTTCCTTCTTTTTCTGTGATATGAAGGTTCTCATATCCTGATACCTACGCATAATGGATGCTAGGTTGCTGGCATAATTGATTAGATTTTCACCAATTTGTGTGACCCCTGGGGATCCCCAGAAAATCACCTCTCATTTTCGAAGTCTTTATCTTGCTGAAAACTCCATGAAAATGCCGTAAAGTGTACTGAGGATATATTACGGCACTGCTAAGCATGTTTTTGACAGAAGAAATGGAATTTGAAGATTATCAATTTTTCGATAATCCCTGGCTCGCGAGCAGCGGTTCGTTGAAAATTTCGATATCCTGAGATTTCCCTTATTTCTACTATAAACATGTTTAGCAGTACCATATTGTACCCTCAGCAGGAATTTAGAACATTTTCAATGAATTTGTGGGAAGATAATTGACTTTGAAAATGAGAGGTGATCCCCTGGGGATCCTCAGGGGATCACACAAAGTTGTGAAAATCTGATCTTGTACGGCAATAACCTGGCATCCATTATGCGCAGGTATTAGGGTATGAGAACCTTCATATCACAGATAAAGAAGGAAGACGAAAGATAGCGAAATATGACGCTTCCCCTCTCAGATTCCCTCCCCTCCCCGCGTGGATGTACGTGCATACGGGCCTAAGACTCAATTGCTAACCATGTTCATCCCAACCCCTGTTGTTGTCACGCCTTCGCCTTCTTTGTTTCATCATTGACCTGCCATTCATGCCTTTCCTGCTTCATATTGTTAGCTTAAGCTTACTTGAAGTATTAGGTTGTTACATAAGTCTTGTTGCACTTTAAATAATTACGGCAATAAGTCATACACCTCATATTCTCTACAGGGCTCCAGGATACCATTTGATAGAGCAAAGGAAGCTCTACAAGAAAATTTGCAAAAGTTCGCACCAGCTTCGACCCACAGTAGGTTTGCCAGATGTCTGAGTAGCATTGAAATCTGAAAAAATTAGGAAAATCTCATATCTTCGTTCACAAAAACCCTACGAATCCCCAGCTTATTCCTACAATTGCACACTATGTCAGACACTCATATGTATCGTTGTTATATTTTTTCCTCATCTAGAAATCGACAAAACGAAAATTTTCTTGTTTTTACAAAATGAAGCTATGCTGTTTCTATTCATGTAGCTGTATACTACAGGCCCTTAAAAATATAACAATAAATATTATTATTCATTCGGGTATTCAAAGCCAAATTTGGTATTTTTCGAAAACTAAGGCTTCTAGAAAGCTGAAAATCTACGGTTATACTTCTAAGGGCTTGTACTATATAGCTACATGAGTAGAAACAGCGTAGCTTTGTTTTTGTAAAAACAATTTCTAGATAAGGAAAAAATACAGCAACGGTACGTATGAGTGTCTGATGTGGTGTGCAATCTGTGTGAACAAGTTGGAGATGCGGAGGGTTTTTTCGAACGAAAGTTTGAATTTTTGCTGATTTTTTCCTTCAGTGCGACTCACATTCCGGATGTAAAGTTACGGTAGGTCGGAGCTGGTTCGAACGATAATGCGCTGTTGCGCACTATCTTGTAGTGCTTGCTTTGCTCTATCAAATGGTACCCTAAGTCCCTATCAGAAATATGAAGTTTACGACTTATCTTCGTAAGAAATCAAAGTATAACAAGGCTTATGTAACAACCTAATATTTTAATTGTGACTTACAACTGTGCGTCAATTTTTGCAAAGTTAAAGGGGACTGGTGAATACTGGAAGGAGCAATTTTTTACTTGATCAAAAATTTTATCTCGAAAGGGAGCAAATATGATAGTATCGTAAAATCGGCGCAGTCATCCCAAGAGTTCCGCAAAGTTCCACAGTTCTGTCAACTTTTATTCTGTCTGCGTTTTGTTGCACAGAGTTCTGCCATAACGTAAGCAAATGATTCAATAAGGATTATCGGAATAATCACTGAGAGACTAGCTTTCGGGATGTGTCTCACAAGGACGTAAAGGTCAGTTTGAGCGAATACTGTGTGAGTTTCAACTTTAGTGGCATGCGCAATCTTCTGCCCAGAGAGGAAGAGGACTCATTGCTGCAGTGAAGCCTTACGAGCGCAAAGATACACATGTAGAGGAAAGAATACGTACGACCCCAAGAATTCCACTTCGCAAAGACCTCATGAAGGCTCTTGGTCAATCCAAGTTCGTACATTTAGCAAAATACATAGGTACATGTCATAATTATCCATTTCATTCGCTTCTAAGAAAACGCAGCATTGTGTTGCTGCGAAGCGGATAAAGTAGATAATTATGGGGATAGATTCTTATAGATAATAAGCAAGAATTTTAGTATCGCACGCATAAAGTGAATGGCATCTATATTCTTGATTTACTGAAGCTTGGAGACGAAAATTTCTTGATTAACGATGTGGTTGTAGGTAGAGCAACGTGGATTGGTGATCATTTCAGAAAAGTAAGTCCTTTTTTTGCATTTTATTCAGTTAACGTCATCCAAATACTCTAAGAGAAAGATAGTACTTTACTGCTCCACTGAAAAGTCTTATGTACTATGAAAATCTTGTTTGAAGACCAGCGAGCTTACAAGAGGCTAGATGGTAAAGAACCAGAGAAAAAGAAATTTTCGAAGGGCACTAAGATAATAAAAGAAAGAACATATGAATAAGTGCAAAACTTCAAAAAAGGTGACGTTTTCAGAGGCTTCTTATCAAGGGAAAGCAAACAAGAGGCACTAAAGCTCAAGTGATTTAGGGATGTTACTGTAGCACAATTTATCGAATGTTTAATCAGTTATATGTAAAATTCACGGCTAGAATTTCACAATACAAAAGGGGGCATATTAAGAGATGGCGCAAGAAGCTAAACTAAGAGAGCGTTTGATTTAACTAAGCCGTAAGTATGCAAATCTCCAAGTAGATACAGAGCAGATATCTTGAAAATTCAAGGATTTATTCGTATAATACAATTATTAGGGTGGTCCAAACAGCGACACCAATTTATACAATTTGAATGCTTTCTTTCATTAAAGACAGACAACCAGCAATGTAAGCGCTTCTGCATAGAGTAATTTTTGCATGTTACTCCGGTAGCACATTGCAACTCCGCCTCCACAATCATTTGAGCGGCGTTTCAAGGAAGTCAAATAGCCTTTTTTTCTCCATTTGAATTTGTGCTGCTATACCTATAAGTCCTCAGATGCGTGATATACCCATTCAAAAATGCTCTCGAACTTCTTTCTAATGACTCGAATGTGTAGAAATTTCTAGTTGATTTGCATAAAGAAGGTAGACTATGGAAAAAATGCATTTTGGAGGACATTTTCAGGTTAAACATGTTTTGGCCCATGATTTTTTGAAAATGAGAAAAAGTCGAGATAAGGCTACAAGCTCTGTTAGATGCTAGCTGTTAAAGATAAGATCATTCAACTATCCCGATGACAGCATAAATGGTACGTCTTTGATTTATGATGCTATATCACCAGGACATCCTCAATTTGATAGCGTCCCCTCACACATTGCGGCACAGATATTTTTTGGTAGCCTTGTTTCACCGTGGCTGTGCAGCTCAAAATTTGAAATAACTCAAAATAACGAGCTTTGTTTTTGGACATTTATAAAGTACGCCAATACTGCGACAATACTCAAACGTAGAACTCGGCGACCACAAAGTTTTGATATGAACATCAGCGAAAACTTGGGCATTTAACCAGTTTTTCGAAAAATTGCATTCATCGTCTAAGCGTCCCATTACTTTTATATCTTAGTATAAAAGCGAGATTACATTATTACGATTATTTTGAGTGATTGAACTTTGCCGTTCCAGGCAAAAACCCACTCTAAGTGCAAAACTAGCAAGCAAAACCTACTCACATTTTGCTACTCAGCTCATAGCCTAAACGTTGTGTCTTGTTATTCTCTAACAACTTACAGCTTCCAATCGATGGAGTACTTGGACTAGCATTCCAAAAATTAGCCGAAAACCATGTCAGACCGCCATTTGTACAAGCCTATGAATCTGGAGTAGTTGCACCCATATTCACAGTGCATCTCAACCGACCAAATGAAGGTAATGAAACTTTTTTTAGGTACTTCATGTAAGAATACTCTTATACGCTTCATGCGAGTTAATTTTCGTTTCTCCACAGCAGAAACAAAAACAAATGTTTATGGATACGACAAAACACTTTCACACAAAATTCTGATTCAGAAGAGAGAAAGTACTATCTTAGTCCTGCATTGATCATGCTTATGCAGTTTGCTTGTCAGGTGTCTTCATGTTTTCTTATCTGAAGCAAGGCTTTTTTCATTTACTTTTTTTCGCAGGTAGGCCTTAATTCTGTCTAGCCATTTCATCTTGGGTTTACTGATGGTTCTTTCTCCTCAAGGCTAGCTTAGTGACATGGCTTAAGTTTCTTCTGCGCACACGCCCGGCACCATATTACTCTTGCTCTTTCGTTGCATTTCTAAGTAATTAGATCCGCCTTCATTCAAGTTCGTACACTGTCTAGCGGAAGCGGTCGTTCAGTAAGATCTAAAAATCATTCGTTATATACTTCCGTAGTAACTGAGCTTGCGCTGCTCGTTTTGACGGCTGACAATTACTGCAATGGAGTGCTGCTGAAGGATAACAGTTTGCTACAGTCACTTCAGCTGCACGCATTCGTCTGCTCCTCAAAACTTCGTCAGGGTCTTTTTTTTTATCCAAGCTATTCTTATCATGCGTGTGACCTCTTTTTGTAGGCCTCCAGTTGTCACAGCCTGGGAACTTGTATAAGGTTGTTTTCTTTAGCTATTCGCCATCCATACATATAGACATTTTGCCACTTCCATATATTCCGTCTTATTAGCTCCAACCCATACAACACAGACCTGTCTCTTCAGTTCACGCTCAAGCGGTCCTATCACTGAGATCGTGATGAAGAATAAGAAAGAGAAAGAACTGAACTTTGGTGCACAGCGTTATCAAAGTGGAGCTCTTTCAATTTCCCTACAGCTGTTGGTACGTGACTTGGCGCTATGGTATATTACGTTATCCATGAACAGTGACGTACCCAGGATTTCGGCTCGGGGGGGGGGGGCGACAAAAAATTTTTCTGATGGTGCGTGGCGTCAGCCACGCACTCCGAAAAAAAATTTTTGTAGGGCTAAAATGAATTTTTTAAAAAGTTTTTAAAATTTTTTTAATTATGTAAAAGTACAAACAAGTCACTTGCGTATTTTTATGACTCATGTATGTAACTTTTAAAAATTTCGCGACCCGTGCCCCCCTCCCTCGGTACGCTACTGCCATGAACGTACTCCTGTAGACCTTAGGCTGCGTTCATACTGAAGTCCGGAAGTTTGGGATCATTCCAGCACACGGTCGAACTGAGCGCTGTGCTGGAACTGTTCCCGGACTTCGAACTCAGTATCAACGCAGCCTTATGTTCCCCCCCCCCCCAAAGGATGGGCGCGAAGTCACGCGAGGTCAACTCATGTATTAGGTTGGTGCAAAAATTTTGTCAGTTTTTTCAATCCATCGGCAAACACGCTAGAATGAAGATAATCAAACACTTTAAAATGTTTCCGATGCAGAATTTCTTCGCCTTTCCAGCTGCTAAACTCACATTGCGTTTCGTTGCGAGAATGACGAGATATTTGCTAGAAATTACAACCACTCGTTTTTACCATGTCCAAACTTCACTAATTTTCAAAATTTTTATATGAGACTTTCGGAGGAGCCCTAATAGCCACCAGATAGGGCAAACCTTTTGCCAACTTACGCAATTTTTTTCTTTTTCTCCTTTTTTCAGATTTTTGTTAAATAATTTTCTAAAAGTCTAGTGTTTTGGAGAAATCGCAAAACCTGTTTTTGCACCCAAACACTGCAAAACCTAAAGAATACCGAGTTTCAACACTCGATTGTTACTAACGCTACCATTACAAAGTACATGAGCGATTTTAGCTTCAAATTAAGAAGATTTCGAAACATAGGTTACGGCAGTGTGCATCCCTGAAATTTAGAAATACTGCGATTTTCGCCTACAGATTTCGCCTGTCTCGGCAAAAAAAGACAAGTGTTAGAAGGAGGAGAAAAAGTTGAATTGAATGGGGACTGAAGTGTTCAACATTTTAGGTTCTACGAGGTTAAAATAGGCTAAATGTAAAATTTGGTCACTTCAAAAAATAAATCGTATTCTGAAAGGCAAGCCGTAGGGCTACAAAAAGTTGCACAAGTTGGCAAAGGGTTTCCCCTATCTGATGCTTGTTAAGGCTCCTCCGAAAGTCTAATACAAAAATTTTGAAAATTAGTGAAATTTGGACATGGTAAAAACGAGTGATTGTATTTTCCAGCAAGTATCTCGTCAATCCCGCAACGAAACGCAATGAGAGTTCAGCAGCTGAAAAGACGAAGAAATTCTGCATCGGATACATTCTGAAGTGTTTGTTTACCTTCATTCCAGCGTGCTTGCCGATGGATTGAAAAAACTGACAAAACTTTTGCACCGACCTAATATGTTTGAAACTTACATGAGTTGTAAAATTGTGCAAAAATTGTGTTTATTCTTGTAATTAAAATATTTCTCAGATAATTCTATAAAAAGTCAGCACCCTTTTTTTAGGTTTTAGAGGCTCCGCAAACACTTTGAGATAAAAAAATTTTCGGGCGCGACTAACGCCACGCACCTTCATTGAAAAAAATTTTGCCCACGGACCAAAATACTGCGACCGCCACTGTTATAACCCATTATACGACTTTTTTAAACTTGAATGTTCCCTCACGGGGTCTGTTGCTCTAGATAGTCCTCTCCATACTTCGCGATCTTCAGCCTAACGTCTGTCTCGAGTTCTCTTAGGTATGCTTTGATTTTCTCCATCCAGCGTGACCGTGGTCTTCCTCTACGTCTCTTTCTAGGGACTTCGACTGACATTGCCACTCTTGTCGCACTGTCTCCTTCACTTCCTCTTGCGTGTCTGTACCATCGGAGTCGCTTCTCTTGCAGCTTCTTCAATCGGAGCAACCTTCATCGTGGCTCGTAAAGTATCGTGGGTGATATGGTCCATCCGTGATCCTTCTTTCTTGGTTTCTCGTACATGTTCAACATTCGCTGTCATATATAGTAGTTGGGCAGACTTATAGCTGCGATTCCAGCTTAAGTGGCATCCGCTACAGCATTCCTGTAAGCTTCTCCATTTCTTCCAATCTGCAATTCCACTAATAATCTCGTCGATGCGTACCCTTGCAGAACTTTAGCGAGCTTCGCTGTAGTTAAAACGAATGAAAAAATTTTTTGAACGAACAAATATCGAATAATCGTCTTGAAAAATATTCGAACGAACGAGTATCATTCGATCTGTGATTTTCAGATTATTCAAATTCGAATATTTGAATAATGCTACGTTTCAAATTTGATAAATGAATATAATAAATGGGGTTGGTCGAATATCCAACTATCCGAATAATTCGTATAATCTAGTGGCTCGGACATTGCTCATGTTTTCTTTGTTGCAGTTTTCTGCAAAAAAAATCAATCGCTATATTTGATCTAGATTTGTAGCTGATAATTATATGCGTGGCAAGTGGTGAGAATGACTGGGTTATTGTCGCTTGATCAGGGTTCTCCTAAGAAGCATAAGAATTTTAATTCTACTCGAACATATAGTTCATTTGTCTTTCAGAAGGCTACTAACCCTTACTTAGTAACTGTTTCAAGCCCGCATTTATTCTTTCTCACAGAAGTTTCTCCCGAAGCTATACAGACTTCTTCCCAAAGCTACAAACTCAACATGGAAAACCCTTTAGAATAGGTAGTTGTTTATAATTTATTCGTGATGGTAAGCATCGCGTGAGTTCTGGGAATTCCAAGACTAACACTGGGAGAGCACGAGGAAGACTTACAGTAATGTATTTTTGAGGTTTGTACTTTTGTTGTAAGGAATCTTCCACATCTTTTATTCAGGTTCAAAATGATTATTGTACAACCCACACGCCTACTCAAAGTATCACTACTCTATGATCTTTGAAACATTTCAACTCTAGTTTGTTACGCCACCTGACTGTGAAGGCAGCCGATTTGAGTATGGTGACTGACATACAGGCTTCCGCCACAAGTCAAGCGGCTTAGGTTCTCGCGACCGCCTTGCTCTGGCTTTGCACAGGTTAATGTATCTTTCAGGTATCTTGACACGCGGGCGATGATTAGGCTGGCAAGGCAAATGGAGATCTCTGGAAGAAGGAATGAATGTTGCCGATACGTGCTGTCTTGAAGGACTGCTGGTCCCTCACATGCTCATGCAAGCTGTTTGAGGACCAGTAATCCGCTAAAATGGCGCTCAATGACGGCTTTGCTTCTTCACTCAATTCAAAGCTTGAAAGTATTTGCGCATGATATTGCATCTCAACTACTGCAAAAGCGATTTCCAGAAGGTAGTACCACTCCAAATAAATTACGCATAAAACTTGTCATCACCATGCTCTGGCATGACTCGCGATTGCCCCAAAAAGGGAACCTTGCTAGTCATTTTGTCATATGACCATTCATTTGCATGAGTGACCGATCGGGGACATACTTGCACTAAATGTAGTACAGCTGAATTTTTTTGATATTGAATGTTCGAATAAATGACTTTTAAATATTCGAATATTCGAATAACGGTCTTTCAAAACTCCCCGAGTGAACGAAAATTCGAATTACTCATTTTCCAAAATCGTCAAATGAAGGAATTACTCGAATAAGGCCTTTTTTATTTATTCAACTATTAGAATAATCGAATAATTGCATCTCAAATTCGAATATTTGAATAGTCGAATATTTCGATTAAATCATTCTAACACAAATATTCGGTTCTAACTATAAGCTCCGGCGTTTACCTCGAAGTCTTCTGAAGTCCTGCTGCTGTTTGTACGTGGCTGGTGGCATCCTTCATCATTCTGATCCAGCTACGTACTCTTTGGGCACCTTGTGCTTTCACAGTGAAGATCTGTTGTGCTGCATCTTTTCACGAATCCGCATTTTGGAGCTTCCATGATGCTTCACAGTCTCGATTCTAGAATCTTTTCGAAGATGTACTGTGGCACATAAGTCG